CTAGGGAGGGCATCGAAGTGGTGTTGGGTGTTTGCCAGGGCTGTCCACTGGCGCTCTACCTCTTCCTCTGTGTAGTGGAGCCGCTGGTGTAGGATGTGGACGGAACCGCGGGTACAAGGCGCCAACGAGCAGTACCTTCAAGTGGGCGGAACCCAATCACGCGGAAAGGCTGCTGGGCGTATGGGTCACACCAGACGGGATCGGACTTCCCACCTAGGAAAAGGCAATAGAGGAGATTGCACGGAGATTGGTGAAGTGGAGGCAGAAATACCTCACGAAGAAAGTAAGAGGAGCGGTGGCGAATGATTACATCCAGCCGATCATGAACTTCCAAGCGCAAGTTTACCCGCCACAAGTTTACCCGCCACCTGTGAAATTATGGGGAGAGCTGGAGAGATTAATCCACAACTTTGTCTCTGGGAATAAATCAACATCAACACGAGGCTTCTTTCTCTGGAGCAAGGGGCTGCTGTATACCCCCCGAAGCAAAGGCGGCCTCGGTGTTCGAGACCTGAGTATCACCTTCGCATGTTTGTCGACGAGGAGGTTGGGTCTGCTGATGACCCTGCCCGGCACAGGCACGGGCAGCAACACGCAGCACAGGCACGGGCAGCAACGAGCGGCAACAGGCAGCACAGGCACGGGCAGCAACGGGCGGCAACGGGCAGCACAGGCACGGGCAGCAACGGGCGGCAACGGGCAGCACAGGCACGGGCAGCAACAGGTGGCAACGGGCAGCACAGGCACGAGCAGCAACGGGCGGCAACGGGTAGCAACAGGCAGCAACGGGCAGCACAGGCACATGCAGCAACGGGCGGCAACAGGCAGCACAGGCATGGGCAGCAATAGGCAGCACAGGGAGGCAGTCGTACCGAGTCCAGGAGCGGCGGCGCATGCAGCTGCAGGGTCGGCGCCGTGGGCTGCTGCTGGGGCGGCTCGCGGGGTCCCTGGGGCGGCATTGCGGGCTGCTGCAGGGTCGGAGCCGCGGGGTCCAGGGGCGGCTGCTGAGGTCCAGGGGCGGCTTCACCAGGGGCAGCTGCTCTAGGGACCAGGGGCGGGTGCTCTGGGTCCAAGGGCGGCTGCACCAGGGGCCAAGGGCGGCTGCGGAGGTCCAGGGGCGGCTGCACCGGGGGCGGCTGCTCCAGGGGCCAGGGGCGGCTGCACCGGGGGCGGCTGCTCCAGGGGCCAGGGGCGGCTGCTCTGGGTCCAAGGGCGGCTGCTCCAGGGGCGGCGGCGGCTGGTCCAGGGTCCAGGGGCAGCAGCTCTAGGTGCCAGGGGCGGGTGCTCTGGGTCCAGGGGTGGCTGCACCAGGGGCCAAGGGCGGCTGCGGAGGTCCAGGGTCCAAGGGCAGCTGCTCCAGGGGCGGCGCTGGTGCATGGCAGAGGCAGTGGCCAGGGGGGAGGGCGCCGCGACGAGCAGGGACGGCGCCCAAGGGGCGCCGCGACGAGCAGGGATGGCGCCCAAGGGGCGCCGCGACGAGCAAGGGCGACGCCCCAGGGGCGCCGCGACGAGCAGGGGCGGCGTCCAGGGGGCGCCGCGACGAGCAGGGACGGCGCCAAAGGGGCGCCGCGACGAGCAAGGGCAACGCCCCAAGGGGCGCCGCGACGAGCAAGGGCGACGCCCCAGGGGCGCCGCGACGAGCAGTGGCGACGCCCCGCGGGTCCCGCAGGGGCGTCGCGACGAGCAGGGCGACGCCGCGCGGGTCCTGCAGGGCCGTCGCGACGAGCAGGAGCGGCGACGCCCGGGTCCCGCAGGTGCGTCGCGACGAGTAGGAGCGGCGCCTCGCAGGGCGCCACGAAGTGGAGGGTACGGGCGGGCAAAACAGGCCCGCGCGTGGACGTGAGGCAGGCGCGCAAGCGGCGTGAGAGCAGGCCGCGCGCGGGGCAGGAAGACGCCGCGCGCCCAGTGCGCACGACGGGCAGAAAACCGCCGTGCGCCCCGAGCACACGGCGAGAAAAATACGTCGCGCGCCTCGGGCGCGCGGAAGGACGATAGGCAGCGGAAGCACATTGGTGGGCCCGTTAAGGAAGGCAGCAGGAAGGTACCTGCTTTGATACCATGTTGAGATAGTAAGAGTAGGGCCTAGGCTTAGTAGCCTAGGCCAAAGGGAGTCGAGAGAGTTTAGGCAAAGAGTTGGGAGTTCACTATTGAGCGAGGTACAAATAGCAAACAAAGCATGCAAAGAAGGTGCACCACCAACAAGTTTATACTAAATACACTAACTACAGCTACAGGCAGTTACAGATATATTCTAACAGGCGTGTCCACGCCAGCGGGAGGGCAAAATGACACAGAACCACTCTGGAACTTCCGGCTGGGAGATATGGTGAAGCAGCAGCAGGATGGTAGCTGGTCGCGGAAACCATGGCGGAACTCACGGCGAGACTTGGCGGGAAGGGGCCTACTAGGCTTGCATTGGAAGGTTTCATAGTAGCGCCTGTGGAATGGAGGGATTGTTTGCTGACCCCTGCTGCAAACTCGGCTGGTTCGGCACCGGGGAACTGGAGAAGGCTTTCGCAGCTGCCAATCGTGGTGGATGGGGGGTTGATTCCACTCAAGGAGATGAGGAACCACTGGAAGAGGGAGCAGGATAGTCACACAGGATGCTGAGATGGGCTGGCAAATGGAAGGGCTCAATCAATTGGAAGTTGATCACAGGCATTCATGAATCTCTCGCCACGCCCAACCGGCCGAGAGATAAACACGGGTGTACAATTTCAACTTACAAGTGGGGGAGAGGTTGGCTTTCTTGGCGGACAAACCTACTTCTCCACAGTGTGGGGACAAGGAGACACTTGAACATTGTCTCTTCACCTGCCCGAGGATTCAGGTGGTGGTGTTGGCGCTGAAGAAAGCACTCCGCTCGATTAACCCGTTCCGCGAGACAGAGTCCCTGGGGGACCTTCTCTTCCACAAAGCCGGGTCAAGCACAACCTTCCCGGAGGCGACCCTGATTGGAATCACGCTGTATCAACTCTGGTTGGAGAGATGCGAGGCAGTCTTTAGGGGGGAAACATTTCCCGTGCGGAGGGTGCTGAGGAGGATCATCTTTGCCTTTCGATAGCATGCATGAGTCTACGTGAAGGTTCGCATCTCCACACAACAAAAAAAAGGAACACGGCGCAAGCTAGCAAATTCCAGGAGGAGCACCACCTGCTTAGTAGGATACGGAGAGCTGACGATAAGAAGTGGACCTGGACAAGTGCCTTTGAGTCCATATGGTCCAATCCAAGGATGGTATATAATCTACCATAGATGCTTGCCGAGGCAGTCAGCCCTGCCCTTGCATATCTCGAAACTAAGTTGTTAGGGTTTGTTAGGGTTTCATTTCTTCCTTTCTTCTGGCTGCTTCCTCTCACTCGCTTCCTCTCCCAAGCAAAGGCTATGCTCTTGCGTAGTTTCTCTCTGGATCACACAGGTATGTCCGTTTATTTCATAGATTGCATGTTAGTTAGGTTGAGGAAGTATATAGTCGACTCCACATGGTTTCAATTGATTTCGTTTTCCAGTCATGATTGATTTTCTGGTCGTTATTTCTTTTCCCCTCCACGTTTCTTTCCGCCTCCTTGATTAGTAGTCTATTTTCCTCATTTATTTCTCCCCTGTTCGTAGTTTTTGATAGTCTTCAGGTGTATTATATTCTCTACAGTGTCACCCCAATTCCTTAAGCAATCTATTTCCTTATCTACTTTTCCCCTTCTCATTTGCGTTTCCAATTGCCGGTGCTTGTTGTCAAACTTCTATGATCTGGCCTGTGTAGGCTGTAGTGGGTTAGACACTAAGGGGTACACAATTCTAGGGTTTCATATTTGTATCACTTTCATTCCTTAGTCAATCATTCTCTCGTTCTAATCTCCACATGGTATCGAGCAGGTTCCCTCGTGGGAATTGTTCCTAGGGCCCACCTAATAGCGATTTTTTTTTCCTGCCCGGAGCGCGCTTCGCCCCTGCCCGAGTCGCGCCCTATAGCAACCCCTCTCACGGCCCCTAGCGGCCCCATCGTGCCGCCCTAGTGGCCCCGTCGCGCCGCCCTCACGGCCCCGTCGCGCCGCCCTCGCGGCCCCGTCGCGCCGCCCTCGCGGCCCCGTCGCGCCGCCCTCGCGGCCCCGTCGCGCCGCCCTCGCGGCCCCGTCGCGCCGCCCTCGCGGCCCTGTCGCGCCGCCCTCGAGGCCCCTCGCGGCCCCTCGCGGCCCCTTGCGGCCCCTTAGCGGCCCCTCGCGGCCCCGTCGCGCCGCCCTCGCGGCTCCGTTGCGCCGCCACCACGACCCCTTGCGGCCCCTTTCGCGGCCCGTCGAGGCCCCCTTTTTGGCCCCGTGCGGTCCCTCTCACGGCTGCTCACGGTCCCTTCGCGGCCCCGTCACGCCGCCCTTGTGGCCCCGTCGCCGGCCCCTCCTCCTCCCCTCGGCCTCGTCGCCGCCCTTCAGCGGCCACATCGCCGCCTCTCTACGGCCCTGTTGCCGCCCTTTTGCGGCCCCACTGCCGCCCTTCCGCGGCCCCATTGCCGCCCTTACGCGGCCTCGTAGCCGCCCTTCAGCAGCCCCACCGCCGTCTCTCAGCGGCCTTGTTGCCGCACTTTCAACGGCCCCGTTGCCGCCCCTTGCGGCCCTGTTGCCGCCCTTCCTCGGCCCCTCCGCCGCCCTTCTTGGCCCCGTCGAGCAGCCGAGCCGCCGTCACCGCCGAGCCGCCGAGCTGCCGAGCCGCCCAAGCCGCCGAGCCTCCGAGTCGCTGAGCCGCCGAGCCGCCCTGCTGCAGAGCTGCCGAGCCGCCTGTGCCGCCGAGCCGCCGAGCCCCCAAGCCACCCAGCCGTTGAGCCGCTGAGCCGCCCAACTGCAGAGCTGCCGAGCCGCCGAGCCACCCCGCAGCCGAGACGCCGCAGTCACTGCAGTCGTGGCCTTCTCCCTGCAGGCCTGCCTTGGCCCGCCTCACCTGCCTGGTAAGAGCAGCGCCTCTGCCACTGCACTGCCCTACCCCGCTGCTCTCTCTGCTAGTCTACTGCTGTCATGGCCACCCCCAGTGTTCTCACCTTTGACGCTGAGGGTCGGGCTATTGAATTTGAGGTCTGGGTAGATGCTCTGCAGCTTTTCCTACAGTGCGATAGGGCAGACGGTCTCTCCCTCTTTGATCTCACTTCTGGTGCCTCTCCTGCCCCTGCTGCTGATGGTGACGCCACTGTTTGGTCACAGTGGGCCACGCGCGATGCTGTTGCCCGCCTTGCTATGCGCCACCACTTACCGACCGCTGAGCGCGCGCATTTCAGTCTGTACAAGAGTGCTCAGACCTTGTAGGACGCTGTAGTTGCACGCTACTCTTCCCCTGCCACTGCTGCTCTTAGCCGCCTCATACTGCCGTACCACTTCCTTGACCTCGCCGCTTTTCCCACAGTCGCTAACCTCATTACTGACCTTCGCACTAGTGACATTCGCTACCGCGCTGCGCTTCCTGCTAAGTTCTGAGCCAAGAACCCCCCCCCCTATGTACACCACCCTCTACTACATAGTCACCCGGCTCCCTGACACCCTTCGCTCGGTCAGGGACCACTTTCTCTCTGTTTGCCCCACCACTCTCACCGTTGACCTCCTCGAGGAGCGCCTCCTAGCAGCAGAGAAGGGCATAGTCGCTGTAGGAGCCTTTCGTGGTGACCCTCGTACCCCTGTGTTTGAGGGGTGCTCCCCTTCCCCCCTCTTGCCTATCAGAATGTTATTCTCTAGCCTATAGTGGGGTGCTCTATAGCGAGTACAACCCATCTAGGGTTTGCTATATGTATCCTCATTGCTGCTAGTGAAATCCTCTCTTTTGCCTAAACTTCTCTTGTCTAGCTAGGGCTTACCTAGCTATGGCTCCTAACTCTGCCTACTATCTTAACATGCTATCAGAGCGGGTACGCTCCTGGCCTGTGGGCCTACCTGCTTCCGCTGCTACTCGATCTGTCGCACGCCCGGTGGCGTGCTACGCATTTTTCATCCCGCCGCGCGCCGTGGCTTCGTTGCCGCTCTTTGCGGCCCCGTCGCCGCCCTTCGCGGCCCACACTCGGCCCCTCCCCCCCCCTTCGCGGCCCCGTCGCCGCCCTTAGCAGCCCCGTCGCCGCCCGCAGCGGCCCCGTCGCCGCCCTCTACGGCCCCGTCGCCGCCTGCAGCGGCCCCGTCGCCGCCGCAGCGGCCCCGTCACCGCCCGCAGCGACCCCTTCGCCGCCCGCAACGGCCCCGTCGCAGCCCGCAGCGGCCCCGTCGCCATCCGCAGCGGCCCCGTCGCCGCCCGCAGCGGCCCCGTCGCCGCCCGCAGCGACCCCTTCGCCGCCCGCAGCGGCCCCGTCGCCGCCCTCTGCGGTCCCATCGCCGCCCTCCCGCTGCCCCTTCGCGGCGCCCAAGGGAGCCGCGCGCGGCCCCTCGCTGCCCCGTGGTGGCGCCCTGAGGGCCGCGCGCCTTTCCCCCCACCATCCCCCGCGCTCCTTCCCCGTCCCACCCGTTTTAGGGTTTGGGGATGCGGGGTGTGGGGGTGGCGGTTGTGGGGGTGTCGGTTGTGTGCGCCGTCCCCTCCTCCTCCTCCTCCTCCTCCTTCGTCTCCCACTGCTGCAGCTGTCGCTGAGGGGGGTGGATGTGTGGGAGCCTGGGGTTTAGGGTTTAAGGGGGGTGCTGTGGGAGTGGAGCTAGGGTTTGAGCAGGGGGTATGTGAGAGGGGCGTGGGGCAGCTGGGGGAGGTTCTGTGAAGGTAGCTGTCTTGTAGCCTGCAGCGCCTGCAGTCCGTCGCCCTTGCTTCGGTAGCCAGTGAGCCTGTTGCACCAGTCGCCAGTGGGTCCATTGCTCCTGCCGCTCGTCTATAGCCGCGGAGCCAGTCACTCCAGTAGTCCGTCGCCCTTGCTTTGGTAGCCACTGAGTCAGCCGCTCCTGTGCCCGTGCCTCTGCAGCTTCAGTCATTGCCTCCCATCTTCTCTCCCTCTACAGTCTCTCCTCCTCCTCACTTGCCCTCTGTGATTAGCTCTAGCTTTGCTTACCTTTGTGAACTCCTGCTCTATACCTGCTTGCTCATTGTACTAATTACACCCCACTTTGGCTATGGGGGTGTGTCAGAATGTTATTCTCTAGCCTGTAGTGGGGTGCTCTATAGCGAGTACAACCCATCTAGGGTTTGCAATATGTATCCTCATTGCTGCTAGTAAAATCCTCTCTCTTTTGCCTAAACTTCTCTTGTTTAGCTAGGGCTTACCTAGCTATGGCTCCTAACTCTGGCTACTATCTTCACATTGCCCTCTGTTGCCTCTGCTGCTGTGGCCGACCTCATTGGTCTTGAGTCGGTCGGCGCGGCGTTTGCCCCTAGCGGGAGACGCCGCTCAGGCAAGGGCAAGGGGGGCAAGGGCGCTGGAGGAGCTGGCGGGGGCGGTGGAGGCGGCGGTGGAGATGGCGGAGGGGGTGGCGGTGGTGGTGGGAGTGGTGGCGGGGGTGGGGGCACTAGTGGCGGCAGTGGAGGCGGAGAAGGAGGCGATGGTGGCAGTGCGGGCGGAGGTGGCGGAGGTGGAGGCGGTCGTGGAGGTAGCGGCGGCGGAGGTGGAGCTGGTCGGGGCGGCTCTACGCAGAGGGTCGGCTCCGGTGGTGGTCAGTGCCAGCAGCAGCAGCAACAGCGCACTCGTGAGACCCCTTCCCCCCAGCAGCTTCGTGAGTGGTACACTGCTCGTCAGCGGGGTGGGGGTGCTGGCCCCTGTACCTACGATCTCCGTACCGGCGACCGCGCGGGTGAGCAGTGTGGGGGTCCGCACTCCACCCAGCGCTGCTTCGGCCGTCTGACGTACGCTTCGCGTCACCCATTCCCCAACGCTATTGAGATCCCTCGATGGGGCGAGCTGTTTAGGGCGGGTGTTGCGATCTTTGATCTTCACTATGATGCTATTCTTGCTGCCATGTATGCTGTGACTATTAGTGATGAGGGTGACTGTTACCGGTGCTTTCCGCCTGACCCGGGCATTAAGGCTGCTGCTCTAGGTGCTGGTGAGGCTGCTGCTCTAGGTGCCAGTGAGTCTACTGCCCCAGGTGCTGGTGAGTCTGCGCTCTCAGGTACCGCGTCGGCTCTGGCCACCTACACCTTCACCCTTGACTCGGGTGCTTCCCGCTCCTTCTTTTGAGACCGCACCACCCTCACGCCGCTTAGTCGGCCAGTGGCAGTCTCCTTGGCAGGCCCCTGTGGGGGTCCGGTCCTTACCCACTTCTCTAATGTCCTACCGTGTCCGGCGGCTCCTTATGGCAACCTATCAGGTCTTTACCTTCCCTCGTTCTCTACGAACTTGGTGAGTGGTGCTGACCTCCGGGATACAGGATCACGAGCGCTACTTCCTGCTGGTGGTTGACGACTACTCGCGTTACACCATAGTCTTCCCCTTGTGCAGCAAGGGTGCGGTCGCTGAGGTGTTGATCGACTGGATCCGCGCAGCTCGTCTCCAGCTCAGAGAGAGTTTCAGCTCGGACTTTCCTATTCTGCGTCTGCACTCCAATAGAGGCGGAGAGTTCTCCTCTGACCTTTTGCGAGCCTTCTGTCGAACACGAGGCATCCGCCAGACTTTCACGCTTCCGGACTCTCCACAACAAAATGGGATTGCTGAGCGCCGCATTGGCATGGTCATGGACGTCGCTCGTACGTCCATGGTCCATGCGGCTGCCCCCCATTTTCTGTGGTCGTTTGTGGTTCGGTACGTGGCGCATCAGATCAACCTTCAGCCCCGGGTCTCCATGGCGGAGACCTCCCCTACTTTTCTGTGGACGGGGAAGGTTGGCGATGCGTCTGCGTTCTGTGTTTGGGGATCTCGGGCGTTTGTCCGCGACTTGTCTGCGGACAAGCTGTCCCCTCGTGCTGTTCCTTGCGTCTTCCTTGGCTTCCCCCCTTGACGCGCCAGGCTAGCAATTCTACCACCCCACCTCACGCCGTGTTCTGTCCTCCCAGGACGTTACTTTTGACGAGTCGGTTCCCTACTACCGTCTCTTCCCCTACCGCACTGCGTCCCTCCCCCCCCCCCGCCGCTCTTTCTTACGCCAGGTCCCCCTCCGGTAGACCCCCTCCTCCCTCAGGGTCCTCCCCCCTTAGGTGTGTCCCACGAAGACGCAGTCGAGCCTGTCGAGGTAGCTGTTGACTCTGGTGCTGCTAGGGGTGCTGAGCCTGCGGTTGCGAGGTCTGGGGGTGCTGAGCCTGGAGGTGCTGAGTCTGGGGGTGCTGCGACTGGGGGTGCTGAGCTTGGGGGTGCTTTGCCTGGGGTTGCTGAGCCTGGGGGTGCTGCGTCTGGGGGTGCTGAGCCTGGGGGTGCTGCGTCTGGGGGTGCGGAGTCTGAGGGTACTGGGCCTGCTTGTGTGGCGTCTTGTGGTACTGGGCCTGGTGGTTCCTCGGGTGCTTCGTCCCGGTGGGAGCTACTCTCTCCATAGGAGCTGCGTGAGTGGTTTGCCCGGCGCTGGAGGTGTGCTGCTGGCGCTAGAGGTGCTGCGGGCGCTGGAGGTTCTGCTGCTGCAGAGGGTGCTAGTGCCGCGGGTTCCGGAGGTACTCGTACTGGGAGTACTGGAGCTGTTGGGCCTGCGGGTGCTTCTGGTGCTGGAGCTGGTGGACCTGCTGCAGCTGTTGGCGGTGCTAGAGCTGGAGCTCGTGCTGTTGTGGGTGCTAGCGCTGAGGGTGCTTCTGGTGCTGGTGCCGCTGAGGGTGCTGGAGTTGGTGCTGCTGGGGCTGGGGGTGCTGGTGGCGTTGGTGGTGTCCCTTCTGGTGCTGGTGGTGCCGAGCGGCCAAGGCCGTACTTCGTTCCGCTCCTTAAGCAGGTTCTTGGTCTTCCGCCCTCTGCTCCGACTCCTCCCTTAGAGTGTCCACCGCCTGTCCAGTTGGAGTCACATTTCCAGCTTCCCTCTCCTCTGCCTGTTCCTTCTCCCTACACTGGTCCTACTGAAGGTCTTGTTGAGCGTCGTGAGCCTGCGTCTCGCCCTGCGTCTCGCACTGGTGGTCGTTGTTCGCGTCAGCGTCCTACCCCTGTCCTTGGCACGCACCGGATGTCTGTGCGTCCGCCCACTGCTCCTCTGCGTGCCCCTTTGCCTTCTCCTCCCAAGTCTTCTCTTCCTGCTCTTGCTGACCCAGAGTCAGACTCCCTTCGCGTTGCCAGTCCTACTGTCACGCGTCTCCTTGCTACTGTTGTCATTGACCCTTCCTTTGAGTCCACTACTGCGTTTGCCCTAGTTGCTGAGCTTGTCGACTTTGCTGCTCGCTGTCGTCTAGACTACGTTGCTAGTCTGGTTGCTGAGTCTGAGTCTGTCTATCCTCCGTCCGTCAGGGGTGAGTGTGCTCTTGGCACGGACGTCTTTGAGGACAGGCAGGAGGAGTTCCGGTGTCTTGCGGCAGCTTCACCTCATCTCGTGTCCATGCTACTTGCCCCTGAGGGAGACCCGGATGCACCAGATATCCCGACTCCGCGCTCTTACGCGGAGGCGATAGAGGGTCCCTACTCCTCTCAGTGGTAGGCAGCTATGGATGCAGAGATGGCTTCCTGGAAGTCCACAGGCACCTAATTTGACGTCGTTCCCCCGCCTGGGGCGAACATCGTCAGTGGCATGTGGATTTTCAGGGTGAAGTGGCTGCAGGGCGGCTCGGGTGCTAGGCGGCTCGGCTGCTGGGCGGCTCGGCTGCTGGAGCGAGGCGGCTCGGCTGTCGGGCGGCTCGGCTGCTGGGCGGCTTGGCTGCTGGGGGGCTCGGCTGCACGGTGCTGGGTGGCTCGGCTGTCGGGCGGCTCGGCTGCTGGGCGGCTCGGGAGGTCGGGCGGCTCAGGTGGCCGGTGGTTCAACTGCTCGGCGTTGCGGGCGCTGGGAGGCGAGGTCGCAGGTGGTGGCAAGGTCGCAGGTGGCGGCGGGCCGCAAGGGTGGGCGAGGCTGCGGTGGCGACGGGGCCGAAGTGGGGCCTAAGTGGGGGCGTAGAGGGACCGACGAGGCCGAAGTGGGGCCGTAGCGGGGCCGCAGCGGGGCCTATACGGGGCCGTAGTGGGGCCTAAAGGGGGCCGACGGGTCCGTAGCGGGGCGTAAGCGGGGCCGTAGCGGGGCCTAAGCGGGGTCGACGGGGCCTAAGCGGGGCCGTAGCGAGGCCTAAGCGGGGCCGTAGCGGGGCCGACGGGGCCTAAGCGGGGCCGTAGCGGGGCCGACGGGGCCGTAGCGGGGCCGTAGCGGGGCCTAAGCGGGGCCGACGGGGCCGTAGCGGGGCCGATGCGGGGCCGTAGCGGGGCCAAAGCGAGGCCGTAGAGGGTGGCTTGAGGGGCAGTAAGGGCGGCCAAAAGGGGCCACTAATGCGGCTCGAGGCGCTACTCGGGTTAGGAGCTAGGCGCGCTACGGGCAAAGAAGGAAAACAAAAGTTCGTGGTGGGCCCTATGCAATATTCCCACTCGAGAACCCGCATGCTTTGCTTGCTCTGATACCATGTCAAAGTTTAGAAGAGAGAAGAGGGATGCACTAGCAAGAAAGGGGATACAAATAGCAAACCCTAGAAGGGTTTTACTCGCTATAGAGCACCCCACTACAAGCTAGAGCATAAGATTGAGAAGAAACGAGAATGAATGAACTATGAATGAACTGAGTACAAGTACTAACCCTAATTGGGTTGTACCCCTTATGGGCTACCCCACTATAGCCTACACAATAAGCACAAGCTATATGTTCTGACACACCCCCATAGGCAAAGTGGGGGAGAACAAGGGGTCACAAGACCAGTCAAGCAAAGCAAGCTCAGGGTGGATCACAAAGTCACCACACATTCCGAGCACAAGTTCAAGGCTAAAAGGCCAGTTCACATGCAGAAATACATATATATAAAGGACTAGACAAGCAAGAGCAGGTGTATATATATGCAACAGTACAAGCAAGGTCAAGAGGTGAGCAAGTGAGGCAAGACAGGCACAAGACCCAACTGCGTGCAGAAGCGCTGATGATCACAAGGCGCAAGTGCCTTGGTGAAGACATCAGCAGTGTTGGCCTCAGAGGCCACGTACGCAAGCCGCAACTGACCACGCTGCTGTAGCTCACGAGCAAGGAAGTAGCGAAGAGCAATGTGCTTTGTTCTGAGCTCCAGTCTCTACTCTCGACACGAGGCCAGCATGGCCTTGTTGTCTACGTACAGGACTGGAGGAGAACGAGGCGACTCTCCAAGGCCGGTCAGCAGGTAGGTGAGCCAGCAAAGCTCCTGTGCAGCCATGGCCCCGGTGTAGATCTCAGCCTCACAACTGGAGCCGAGAACAGAAGACGAGCGAGTAGCCCGCCACGAAACAGAGTCGGAACCAAGGCTGAAGGTGTAACCCTGTGACGACCGCTGCGTAGCCTGGTCGTCAGCCCAAGAAGCGTCAGCGTGCCCAGTGAGGACCACTGGACTCCGCCCTCCAAGCACTAGCCCCATGCCCGACGTACTGCACAAGTAGCGCAACACCCTCTTCGCTGCAGCCATGTGCTCTGGTCTGTGTCTCCCAGGAGCAACATAGCGTGCGAGAATGCTAAGAGGGTATGCAAGGTCAGGTCGTGTGCAGGTCATCAGGTACATGAGGCAGCCAACAAGCTCTGGATACGGTCCACTCGACTCTACGGACTCATCCGAAGGTAGAGCTGAGAGCGAGTGGCGAGTAGGCAGAGGAGTGGCCTGAGGCAAGAAGTACGTGAAGCCGAAGCGCTGAAGGACCTGCTGCACCATGTGTGACTGAGTCAGGGTAATGGTGCGGTGTGCTCTCTCCTGGGTGATTTGCAAGCCAAGGTAGTTGCGCAGTTCACCCAGGTCTGTGCACGTGTGTCTCTTCTGTAGCTCAGACTTCACGTAGGCGAGTCCAGCAGTGTCAGCTGTGGCAAAGACCAAGTCGTCGACGTACACGAGGATGTAGATCGGCGGCAGAGAAGTGTCGGTGCGTAGAAACAGCGACGGGTCGGCAGTAGAATGAGCAAAGCCAAGAGCTGCAAGCGTAGTCCTCAGTGTGTCGTGCCACTCATGTGGCGCCTGGCGGAGACCGTAGACTGGATGCCGGAGACTCCAGTGGGTACCAAGAGGGAAAGACCAAGTGAAGCCAGGTGGGCGGCGCAGCCATATCTCCTCGTGCAGGCTGCCCTGCAAGAAAGCTGTGCTGAAGTCGAGAGAGTGCATCTC